TAGAGATACCATATAAAGTATATATATATATATATATATATATTAATATATGTGTGTGTGTGTTTTAATAGTTTGATTAGTTTTAATGGTTTGAATAATTTTATATAGAAGCCTTTTTCCACCATGACTTTCTCACACATTTCTGACTTTTTTCTTGCAATTCTAAGGCAAAAAAATATCTGAACTGTGAGAAAACTCAGGATCGGGGAATACAAACTCAAGATATAGTTGCAATAGTTTATAAAGTTTAACTCCAGGTACTAAAATATCTAAATACTGAAACTGAAATAAAAATTAATAAAAACTCATATAAATTTTTTTTTTTAAATACTAAAAATTACAAAAACACAACAATAGTAGTAAAACTAAAAAAAAAAAAAAAAATGATTCAACTGATTCAAAATATGAATAAAAACTATAATACACTCTCAATGCTACTAAAATAACCCTGGATTATAATGCATGCTGGACGTCATGTCTGATGATCTAATGCAGAGATCTGCAGAAGTGAATATTTAATGACTATAATGCTTATTTCTATTTTGGTAGAAATGAAATCATAGGTTTAAACAGGACATTCAGCCAGACACATTGTGGGAAGAAACATCTTTGCTGCCTTCAATAAATGACCGTCTGAGTGTGGCTGAAAACATCTGTGCACATCAAGCATTCAGTGTACAAACCACAAACAATCATAAAACAAGCATAAAACAAAATACACCGCAAACCCAAACTCACAGCAGATGTCATTGCATTAAATCACAGCGGCTGTATCTGTGCTAGAACGCTGCAGGATTAATGTCAAATGATTTGCTTTTTAAAAAGATGCACTAAGATACTTCACAATAAATGACACTTGATTTAATATCGTGTAATAATTGTGAATTAATCGTCTTTGTGCCACTGCTTCATAACAGTGCAGCAACAAACGCAAAAACAACCCATCCAACAATAATCCCTAAACTCATTTATCCATGAAGTGAATTTTGCTTTGAATAATCCATGAATTATCTAAGAATAGTTTGTTTTACAATCCATGTTCATACTGCCATAATCAGATGCAGTTTCTAGGGAAAAAATTATAATTTCACATAATTCCCAGCTATTTACAATTAATATTTCTCAAGTCAATTTCTGTATAGACACAAACTTAAAGTCTCGATTACAACAACATATTCAAAACACCACAGTCTGAACCCAGTAGCGGGGCATGTTGTCACATTACAGTATATGGGGTAAGTTGTCACAATAGGAACCTGCAGTTTATTGACACTGACTGAAGAAGAATTTGCTGAAATAATTAACCAATTTAAAATCTATTATGTTTTAAAATTATTTAATGGCTTATTCAGCTAAATTTAAAACAGTAAGACAATTATTAAACATAAAATAAATCAAAAAGTGGCTAAAATAGAAATGGTATCCCATTGTGGGGTTTATCGTTTGTCGACTCAAAAAATAGGAGGAATTTAGTTTGAATGAATGAATGAATGAATAAATGATGAATGAATGAATGATGAATGAATGATGCATAAGTATATATATAGTTTGGAGGACAGGATTCACAACCCAAAAATATATATTTTAAGACAGTTTTTACCTAGATGTTTAAAACTAAACCTCATATAGATCTTGTGACAACTTGCCCCAGCCTCTACTTTGAGCTCAAACGTCTTAAGATGAACTTTCAAAAGTCTTATGAACTTCAAAGGCAGATAAAACACCATCCTTCACTTTAAATGTACCTGATAAATTCAAAGTTTTTTGCAAGACTCTTTCCAACCAGAGGCTAAATGAGTTGACAGTGCTTTTAATTGGCCTCATTTCTATAATGATCTCCACAAATGACCTCTTCTGTAGCCCTAAAAAGACCACTTTATCTGACTTTATCTCAATCCCTAACGCAAACTCCTCTAATCTAGTACTGACAGGGTCAAACAGACGGATTATTCATAGAGTTCTGATGGCTATCAGAACCGAACAGCATCGAAACGAACTTCATCATCATTAATCTTCATAAGCGTGACTCTCGATCCGCACATTAGCATTTCAATCCACTAATATCAAATAGCTTTTATGTGGATTGATAAGATTTTGGCATGTAGGTTTCATCCATATTCGATTATATCTTATTTAATGCTGAGTTTCTAATTTGAGATGCTAGGATGAAGCTCACGAAGCCTGTCAAGAACACCCCC